AGAGAGAGAGAGAGAGAGAGAGAGAGAGAGAGAGAGAGAGAGAGAGAAACTCCGGCGCCTGAGCATACGGCTGCTCTGCCAGGTGTCGGCTGCAGCATCAGCACCGCTCCTCCTCCTGTCCGCAGCATCTCTCTCTCTTTCTCCTTGCCCTGCGAGTCACAGAGAGAGAGAGAGAGAGAGAGAAAGAGTGGAAAGACGCGCTTGTGTTTCGTTTTGCCACCAACTGCATTTGAGCGACTTTTCTTAAACGACTCACACAAACCCCAAGGTAAGTCGCACAGCTGAAAACACCCCGCGAAGGTATCTTTTTTGCAGCGATGCTTCGGAGTCCAGCGTAGGTTTTCTTGAAGATTGTGTCGCACGTATTTTGCGCGTATAGGAGAACCGGATCTTGGTGCTGAATCGGTTCGCTGGGCAATCTCAGTGAAATATTGATCTCATCATGTTGTTATCGCAGGCACGATGCAGTGCAGCTTGTGACATTTCACAGCCTGTTTGTAAAAAACAAATGCTATATGGAAGTTGGTCAGCAGATCTGCGTAGCCAACTGTAAGTGGAGCAGTAGGCTGAAGGAGAGAATAGCGTGGTTTTTGGAGAGAGAGAGCGAGTGAGGTCAGACAGGGAAGAGCAGGTCGGTGTGATTGATGGAGCAGGTCGCGTCTCTGGGTGATGCTAATGATCAGACATAGATTATCCTGGCTTTAGACCTGACTCCAGCTATGATCTACTGTACTGAGAGGTGACAACGAAGATACTGGGAAGACGTGTGTATTCTTTTTCGTAAGAATGATTATTTATTATTTGTATTTATTATGTTACCGTAAGTACTATTTTCTGACATCAAGTAAAAGAAAAAAAATGAATTCAAATAATATATATTTCAAAACCCCATCCTTCGCAGTTTTCCAGTGCCAGTGGTTTTATAGTTGTGTAGTGGTATTTTAGTGTTATGCTGACTCAGACTCAAACAATTTAAGGGAAGTGGTTTTGGAAGCAGTATGAGCAGTGTGTGAAGAATGTTAAGTTGAATTATGCTCTCTTTTGGGACTGTTCACACCATCAGGGAAATATTTTTGCACAATTTAGCAAATATAGAAGTATTAATTTTGTAAAAGATTGCCTGTTTCTTCTCTTCGCCTTTATTTAGCAGTAAAGGCTCCTGCAGCTGCACACTCAAAGATCTCACCTCTTATTATTTAGCATCTTCTAACTCAGGTGCGAAGCCAGATGAGTCACATGCACAGTGTTTTTATGTGCTTTGGTTACTTTTGCAACAATTCCTCAGCTTCAGCTTTAGGTTATAGAGGGGAGTCGGAGAGGAAAGACAGGAAGGGATGGATCAAGTAAAGCTGGGCAGATCTTTCACACTCTTGTCTCTTGTTCTGATTGATCGGTGTCTGATTGATCAAGTTGTCCTTGAAAGTGCGGAGGGGACAGATTCCCTGTCTTTTTTTTGCAACTGTGATCCCAGCGGTTAGCATTTGGCTGCGCTGCCCCGACACGTGGTCGATAGATTCTGCTCATGTGCATAAAATATGTTTGAGAAGTGCATTTTTTTGTTTTTCATTGGAATTGTCTGGTGCCTTTTATCGATCCCAATATCAGAGACTTCCCAAGTCTATGGATCATCACAGGGCAGCAGAGCCTGTGGCCTTGGCTGTAGCTGCTGTACTAGATGGTGAAGCATGTGTGATTGATTCATTACTTCTGACCTCCACAATGTCCGAACAGCGATCAATTCAGCAGATCTCTGCCAGGAAAACCACTCGCAGCAGTGTGTGTGTCTGTGTGTGTGTGTGTGTGTTTTGTTGTAGTGCTCGGGCTCAGGTGCTTCTGTATGTGTGTGTGTGAGTGAGTGCTTCTGCAGGTAAGACAGTTTGTCACAAAGCCCTTGAGTGTAGCGCACGGGTGCGACCTTCAAGCTCATTTGGACAGAAGAGGAGGAAGGGAGAAAACTGAAATGATAAGTGAAGTGAAGGAGAAAGAGGAGGAGATATACGTCAGCATGCTTCTCAATTTGAATGTATGTTTTTTTTATCCACTTTAATTTGTACAAAAGTGTTGTGCTAATTGATACCACAGTGGTCTGTATGTTGTAGAATACTAAGGTGAACATTTTAGTTTGTAAAAAGTAGCTAAATGTGTATGTTGAGACAAGAGGGAATGACTATGAGGAGGAGGCTTCAGCTATTTCACTGTTGTGACTCATAATTAAACAATTTGGAGGCTTCTCTTTGCTCAGTATGAGGATGGTACGTGTGTGAATAAAGTGTCAACACACATGCAAACACACACTCTCAAATCCACGCTGTCTTTGTCTGGAAGGTGGCAATGAGCTTGTTGTAGCTCCTCCCCTGCAGTCACAGGCAGGACATCAGAGGGTGAACAGAGAGACACGCCTCCGCTGATGACACACACAGACACACACCTCCCTGTCCTGTATGTGTCAACATGAAAGACCTTGTTCACTTGTGTGTATGTGTGCATCCGTTTTCTGAATTTGTGCAATCAGTTACTTTTTTGTTCAGTTTCACAATGTTTCTGCATTAAAATTAGTCAACAAGCTCAGTTTAAATGAACGAATGCTACACTGTGAATGAAGCTAAACGGAGCCTGTGCAGCAGCATTTTTGTGAGGACAGAGCTGTAAGTGCTATTCTTAACTTGACTGTAAAAAGCCACAGAATCATTCATTTTTATGATACTTCTCCGGACTGCACAAACGTTGAAAATTGAACTTCTCTGTCAGAACGGCAGCATATTTGAATCCTTAAACTGAGCAGCATTCCTCAGGACTTCTTTGCCCCATTCAGTACTCTCTCACCTTCCTTTGTCCAATGTTTGGAAACAGTCTTTTTGTGACACCCACACAACCGCTTCAACCCATTACCATATCATTTTTTTTTAAATTTTGCACATCATCACCATCCTAAAAAAACCTCAGCTCACGCTATTCTTTGCTCACCTCTCACTGATCCTTTGCCAGTTTTCCCTCCCCCCACACCCCTGGGGTTTGCCACATTACACATGCATACACACACTCACACATTTCAATACAAACTAGAATCCCCCACATCCCCATTCATCTCCTCCCCTCCTCGCTCTCTGCAGCTTAATTTTTTTCTTTTATCACATTTTCCTAAAATAAACAGAAGTGACTCAGCCTGTCTCTAAGTTGCACTCAGCTTTTCTTTGTCTGGTTTGCTTCACCTTGCTAGCTTTATGTCTGACTATGTCTGTGTGTGTGTGCGTGTGTGTAAGCATGTGCCAACTTCCCTGCGGTCCCCCGGAGAATTCTATCGGTGAATTCTTTGTCTGCAACCGCTTTGCATTTGAAGTGTACTCCTTTCCTCTCCTCTTTGTCCCCACATACAGACATGCAAGAGTTAACATTTTTCTCTGCGACAGGGGTAAGGTAGTGGGTGGAGGGGCTTTGCTAATAACAATGCGGTGCAACCAGTCTGGACGGACACCCTTTTTCTCCTCTCCTCCATGCCATCCCTGTCTGAATCTATGTTTTAACTGCAGTGCTCAATGAACCAATAAACACAAGTCTCATGTCTTCCTCCCTCTCCTAATTCTCTCCTCCAGGCTGTAGCAGTCAGTGTATTTCTAATCACGCTAATCTCTTTACCGGCTCCCCTTTGCTTATTGTTCCCAACTCATCTCATTCCCGTTGTCATTTCTCTTTTCATTTCCTGCACATTTGTCTTTCCTTTATCCATCTCAGCTACAATCCATACTTAGAGGCTGCGTATAGCACAGCAAAACCAGACAGGAAAAGCAAGACCATGTTTGATTCGGTGGAGATTCGTACTTGCCAAAAGCAACACTGAAAAAAATAATTAAGGAGATTTTTCATCAGTAAGCCACATTTTTTTCCCGGTGTGAAGCTGCCTCTTTGTCTCTGCTCCTGCTGCAGCGATAGTCACTGCCAGAGTGTGTGTGTGTGTATAGGTGCTTCTCACGCCGCTGTATGAGTAACTTTGCATGCACATGTGCAAGTGTACATGTGCAAGCTTTCAAATGTTCTTCGTTATCCGTTTCTTTCTTAGAACAATGCAGTTTCTCTCTCCAGCTGTGTGATGGATGGATGTGTGAAGCATTTTTTCATTTCGCTTCGGCTAATAAATTCTATTATCGGCATATTGTGATTTTCAGATGATTTCATAGCAGGTTGCAAATACCGCATGGCCGCGTGCAATGCGGATATAAATCAGCTTCTATTGCAGATGATCTGATTTTCTCATTCTCTTTATTCAGTTAGGTATGACCACCCACTCTGACCCGAGATCCTACAGAAATCCTGTTACAGTTCCCCCCCTGCGATATAGAATGACTTCCCATGGGGATCAAAAAGGCGTCCGACTGTGTGTATGTGGGAGTGGAGTGGGATAGAGAGGGAGACAGAGGGGGAGAGAGCAGGGATTATTTGGGCAGATTTAGTCAGCTGATGTGCCATCTATAAGGATGAAAATGGGATTGATTAACTGTGTATTATTAAGATGGAAGAGAAGATTTAGGGAGGGAGAAGAGATATAGACGGACATGAAAATATTTTTTTAAATATACCAATAAAACTAAATAATATCTAAAGGGAAAAATCTTAATTGCACGGCAGTCAGGGAAGCAAAGATCATTTTTAAGGAGCAGCTCTGTTGTTGCTCTTTGATGCACATCTAGAAAAAAAATAGTGCAGAGCAACTGTAGGATACTACTTCTGGATACTTCCCAGTTCTGCTTCTCTGCTCTCTGTGATGGTTGTGGCTAGGTTCACACATACAAACACGTGACAGTTTAGTGAATCACTACTTGTGAAAGTTTCGTCTACTGGCTGTCTATTGTGTCTTCTGTGAAAACAGAGCTCTTAGCTTATTTCAGTGCTATTTCTGTCTGTGTTGTGTCGCTGACAGAGCTGGGAGGAGAAGGAATGGATGACTAAAGCTTAGCTTATTTCTGAATAGACTTACTCACTAAGCTTTATCTTGCAGGATGATTGTGTGTGAATAGAATCCAAAGTACAAGGAGAAAGGAATACTATATATTTCCCCCAAAACGGACAACAGGATGATTGATTTTGTGTATACATTATTTGCCAGTTTATTTTTGTATGTGTAAAAGTCTTAAATGTATCCACATTTCTGTGGCACACACGCACCTACACACACACTCTCACACACACACCTAACACATTCAAGGAAAGTGTGCAAGGCTGATGTCATTAGACACAGCATGTATTGTATTAGAGGATTGGGGTTTCATCTTTAAAGGATAACTGCTACAGTGCATTTTAATGTAAATCCTGCACTAAATCTAATTATGTCATGTGCTAACACCCAGGAGTCATAAATTATGGTTATGCACACGTCGACACTCTGTCCATTTGTGTTCCCTCCATCTCTTTTGCTTCCATCTCAGTGTGCTGGAATTCACGTCTCTGCCGATGTGTGTGTATATGTGGATGAAAGAGATGGCGCAGGGGGAGTGTGTGTGTGCGTGTAGGTGTGTGTGTCTGCCTGTGTGTCGTTGGGTTCCCCTGGGACCAGAGAGCTATAAAACCTGTCTGCTCTCCAGTGGGGGAGGAGAAGAATAAAGCAAAGTGCCAAAGACAAATGGCTCCTGTAATAGCCACATGTGCTGCTGGACCGACAACAAAAGGCGCTCAGAGTGTGTGTGTGTGTGTGTGTGTGCGCATGTGTCGATTTGTTTGTCTCTGCAGGTGTTTGTGTCCAAGCGAGACACAATGCGCTCATATGCACATACAGTCTTTATGGTGTCACATGTGTTCACATGATTCTGAAGACGTAAACCAACTCACTCAGGAAAAGGAGCTGTGTTTTACACTACCTTGCTTGACTTCCCAGGCTCTTTGAGAGAAAAAATATACGAGAATCTTTGGCAAGTTCTTTGCGATTAGCTTTTTTTTCACTCAAATTAAATTCTGTGCAGCACTTTCTTTCCCTGAGTGAAAAAAAGTATCCAAAAATCCTGACAATTAAAACCCCCTCTAATATTTTGATTCTCAATCGTGAACATAAGGGACTGTACAAAAATGCTTTGAGTGGGGAGGGGGGTTGAAACTTGTGTTTCATTTTGTAAAAAGCAATAACCTCCCCCATGCTCACACGTTTCTTTGGACCCCACTTGACTTAAGAAAATACAATACCCTCCCCCACAAAATATCAAAATAATATATTTATGGAAAACAGCCTGCTCAGATATCTGATTGTCCCTCAGATCAGTTACATGATGCCTGGCTCGGAGTGAAATTTATATAATGGATAAGTTACCAGTTTCATCATTGGGAGCAATTTAGCGCTCATTAGCAATTATATACGGTATAATAATTTCAATAATTAATGACTTCCCTTTTGTCTCTGCAGAAACAGGGCTCTATAGCTCATACTATGGAGGTATGATGTATTCCCTTCCATCAGCCTAATTAGCAAGCAGTCTTCCTTTTTTTTTATCCATCTGCATGTCTCCTCTCTCCCACCACATGTCTGTGTCTCATTTTTCACCCACACAGACTCGCCCACATTCAGAGAAGAAAAAGAAAGATGGGGAAGGCCTTTCTCTTTTCCAATTCTACTCCACTCTAGATTTAGTTTGGCTCTCAATTTCCAGCGACTCTCTCATTGTGTTGCGTTCTCAGCTCGTCATTTCCCACCTTCTGAGAAGGACTTTCTACGGTTCAGTGCAGCTCTTGATAGGTTAGGAGCCTGGTGAAAACCTCCTTTACTGAATTTGATCACTGCTGAGATATGGTCTTATCCTGCCCCATGCTCTCATCACTTCAGCCATCCGTCTATCTTCCCACTTGCTGGGATATGATTGCTCCTAGATGAGCACTATGTACCCGGTGAGGGGAAAAAAAACCTGGCTTTCACTCAGCAATTTAACTGTGACTGCATATATATATATATATATATATATATATATATATATATCCATGCATGCACACACGACAGCGTTGCACAGCAGAATGTATCCATGAGCGGTGAGTGTAAAAACACATGGCTGACCTTCAGGAGAGCCCATCTCTTTCTAACGGTGACCTTCATCCCTGATGGAAGACGCTGGGGTCAGGACGGCTTCCCAGGGATATGGCATTTCCATGACAACAGAAGCAGGACTGTTGAACGTTATCTTCCTGCTGTTTTCCCAGAGGAATTCAGACTGAGTGGTTGCTTCAACTCATTGAAACAAAAGGTGAAACAAAGCCTATGTTACATATTCCAATCCAGCATTCATATAAGAAGGATTTCTATCGTATTTATTCAATGTGGATAACTGGTGAAGGAATACATTTGCTGCCATATTTGCTTGAAGCACTGGTGGCAGAAGTGTATACACAACTCCTAAAGCCCAAAAACGGTTCCCTGCGTACTTCCTCTCATTTTTTGCAGTGTTTCTAGAAGGGCTTTGATGATCAAAGATGTCCACATTTGTTACACCTGTAATTGCATAATTCATCTTCCAGTCAAAGGAAAGCCCCTCACCAACATCAGTCCTGCTTTATCCACTCACTCCCTTGTGATCCTTTTTACATCTAAGTAAGTATGTCACCAATAAAAGAAAGTACGACAGAACCTGTTTTCTCAAATGCCTGTCTCCTGAAGCATCCCAAGATACACTTGATGCTGTACATGTTTTATCATCACAACAGGTCATTTTACTCACATAGTCACATAGACAGATTGTTTGGCTCTTTGTCTGATTATGTTTAGGGTTTTTGCCAGATTGCTTTTGTCTGCCTCTGCTGCGAGCGAGGTGGTGTGCAGTTTATTGTGGTTCAGCCACTGTGACCAAACTCAGCGCTCAGCCTCTCAAGACTGCTGTCATCAGCACAACCTCCAGTACTACATCAGTGCCGTAATTGATCTGCCACCATGTCCTCTCAGAGAATTCTCTCTACAGCTCTCTGTCTCTCCCCGTCTCCCGTCCCTCTCCGTCTCCCCACCTCTTTGAATTGTGTTTTATAATTAGCTTATTATTTGATTGTGTGCACCATGCAGCTAAGGGTAAATATTAGCAGCGTTCACAGAGTACAGAAGACAGTGCGCTGGTTATAATACATTTTGTTTGTCTACTGCAATGAATTTTCCCTCTGCCGCTCTGCAATCTCATCTCAAGCAGGATATTATCAGTATAGTAAATAAATGATCATTTTATACAATATAATACAGTGGCAAGTGAACATTACAACAACGTTAAAGTTCATTCACCTTCCTTCACCCTTGTTCAGCTCACAGAGATTCCAGCAGCTTCTTTTTTAACAGATTCTTCAGGAAAACATCTTGAAATGACTTCTTAGATGACCTTCAGGAATACAAATCACACCCTTGAATGTTTTTCCTCCAAGTGCATTTGGACAAACTGTAGTTTTGCACCCTATTGGAGCGGCATCAGATGCGCCACAGGCAGTGAGAGCTGCCTTCTTAGTAGTTCACTCAGTTCACTGATATCACTGCCACAGGACACATGGAGAAAGGCACCTGCTAATGAGTACAGAGTACCCCGCTGCACATATAATTAGAGGGTGGGAGTTCTAATTGAACTAACTCAAATATTCAGCGTGATGGTTGGAAGACACATATTTGACTACAGAATGACCATCTTGGTCCAAATACACCATAATATGCACTGGCTGCTCAGAGAGATGTCTGTACATTTAGCTGATAGTTTTGGAAGAATATGTTTGTAATTTAAGTATAACTTGAGTCTATATGAGTTCTGTGTGAAAGAAAACAAACCACAGAGTCCTTTAAAGTTGTGCCATTTTAATGCGTCTGGTTGAAGGCAGAAGGAGAATTCTTCATAGAGGTCTTGCATAATTATTGAGAGATTGAAATGTAAAGAGACTAAGAGAGTGTTTCCTCTGAGATCAAAAACATAACAGTCATTGTCAGAATAGCCACAGTTTTCTTTGATGTGTTAGTGAATGCCTGATATACTGTATATGCACACATATTGCTGTGATTAAACTGTCCTGCATCAGTCCTGCACTGACATGATATAAAAAAAAACATTGCCCTACCCGCCATCCGCTCATCTATTGACTGTACATGTTTTAATGGAACCACATACAGTCAGTTACTAACTGTACTCACATTCAACACACCCCTTTTTGTACGTTTTCTGTACATACTGCAGAGTTTTGCCTTTCCATGGAGCAGGATGTGCTGTTGCTGTGTTCGATCGAATTGTGGCATTGGCTAAATCAGCCATATGGCATGTTAAAGACGACATGTTGAGAGAAGAGTGTAAACCCTCCTGCAGTGATCAGACCTACAGTATGGATTTATTCCTCCTGAGCTGGATGATTTGACTCCTTGCCTGTGACGGCACCCACCAACCACATATCATTTTCATGTTGGGAAGATGAATGCACTTGAGCATGTTAGAGACACCGTTTGCTTTCGTTGCATATTCTATAAAACCATTTAAACATACAGATATTGCAGATGTTTTGAACCTATCCTCATTCTGCCTTCTCTTTTTCAAAGTCTCATGGGGAAAAAAAGCTCATTACAAAACCCTTTACACCCTTCCCTCTCTTCCTCCTCGCCTGTCTTCATCAGACATCCTAAGGGTGATTCCTTCACTTACATGCAAACAGTCTGTAGCCTCATATCTGCCATTTCTCTCTTCACTTATCTCTTTTCTTTCTGCCCTTTAGTAAACATACATCATCGTTTGATAATTGCATTCCTATTAGCAATGCTGCACTATACTCTTACTGGTTACAACATGAATTGTATTTCGTCTTAGTCTAGATATAGACTATATGACAAAAAAAGCATCTAAAATAGAAACAAGGTAATTCCGTGACGATCACTTCCTCTTGTGCCTCCAGTGTCTTTTTGTCCCAAAGGCAGCCAGTAAAGGGAACAAGGGGGTGCTGTGCGCAGCTGATTTTAGAAAACGCTGCGATGAATTGTAGAATGGGTTCTACAAAAGTAGTTGCTTTTCAGGCTTATTTGTTGCCCTTTCTTACAGTTTCCTTTTGTTTCTTTTATTTCAGATTGAACAGACTTCCATCTCCCCGAAGAGCCGTACAAAGAAAGCTCTTCTGACTCACAGTAAATGCAAGTTAAGTGGCGAGTTGAAGTGAAAAAGGTTCCATGAGATGACATTTTGCCCTTGGAATAATCAACTGAAGGGCCATCATCACACAGATCCTGAAGAGGTGAAGAAACGCTGGTAACTCCATAGATGGCCTCAGCGCACTGCAGGTGTCTTTGAGCGCGCCAAAAGAATCAGTCCGTCATGAGCATCCCAACTGGTTTACAGGGACTGAGGGTCAATGTTGAAAGAGGAGAGAAGATTGGGAGCAAAACACAGATCCAGTTCCCCCAATCAGGGGATGATAATGCCAATCGATTATCTTCGACAGAGGACACAGGTTACAGCACAAGCTCCATCCCACCTTTGGTCTCGCAGAGCGAATCCCCCAACAAGTTAGTGATCTGGGGCTCTGAGCAGCAATGTTTGGAGCCTGGGCTCAGAGAGTTTGAGCTTTTGAAGTGTCAGGAGATACATACATTCTTGGGAAACAGGGACGAGGAGGATGAGGATGACGATGGAGGAAGTATGAGGGATGGTAAAGATGAGGGCCCCATGTCCATATCCTCAAGCTCCACTGCCAGCTCTGCTTCGACCGGCGCGAGAAGAAATTACAATGACAACAACAAATTGGAGAGCAGAATACAGGGGGGCAGAGAGGTGCAGAAAAGGATTGCCTGTCATAGCACCGAAGAGCTAGACACATGTGTGACAGGCATACTAGAGAAAAGGGACACCAGGTCAGGCAGAGACAGGGAGAGACGGAAGGGAGGTCTGAAGGAGTCAAAGTCTGAGACAAATGTGTTTGTCTCCAGTCTGTCAGCTGTTTCCTTCAGTGGGAGCCTGTCGAGTGCTCTGGATAGTAGCGGAGAAGCGCAGTCTCTCGTCTCTCTGTCCAACTCTAAGACCAATCCTTATCCCAATATAAACCACACTACCTCAGCCCAGACCAGAAGAAGGGCAGGCCCTTTAGACGCCAACCAGAACTCCCCGCCATCGCATCCTCAGGAGAAACAAGGCCATCCTCAATACTACAGCCAGGATCAGAGACAGGACGAGGGAAGCCATCATAGAAAAGGATTGACCTATGACGGGTTGCTGGGCCAAAGGAGGAAGGCAGGATTTGAGGAAAGGGTGACGCCACCGCGGCGGCAACAGCTCGTCAGACCCCTCTGTCAGGCAGAAGTGGGAAGAGCGAGGTGCTTAGCAGAGACCAATGCTCATCAAGCTGAGACAGGGCAACCATCTTCCCCCAACCCCTCTCCAGATTCACACAGTAGTGGGTCAAACAGACAGTTTACGAAATCGTCTTTACGGGAGCCATCGGATTTCTCCAACCTGTACAGCACATCTGGAGGCTCTCAGCTCAGGCAGCCCAACCAGGCAGCCCAGAGGGAGGCTCCACCTGCAGAAAAACAGCCAGCCATACCTGCATGGCATAATTCAAGTCCTTCAAATCCTTCCACGTTCGAGAAGAGACCCCAGACTCAGCTTACATACAGAAGGTATTGCTCTAGTCCCAACAGGACGGGGGTTGATTCCAGGTCATCTACCCCTCCCCACTCCCCTCTCAGGACACCACAGGGTTCACCACGCCGGCAGCCCTCCATGTACCTCGTTTCCAGGAATGTCCCTGGAGTGGTCAGACACATCCCGTCAGGATGCAACCCTGCTGTAACAACATCAGCTCAGGGCTATGGCAACAGTTGCATGAGAGCACCAGTCAAAACCAATACAAGCACAAGTGGAATCCCCAAAGCGCCTCTTAGCAACCAGCAGAGCTCTAACCACAACTCCAGCCCTAAAGAGAGCTCCCCATCACCTAAGCTTAAACCTAAAGGAGTTCGGCCCAAAATCATTACTTCCGTCCGGAAGAATCCTCAGTTCAAGCCCCAGGCTGCTGATGGACCTTATCAGGTATCCTCTCTACCGTCCAGGCTGTCAGCATACACACACGGCCAAACAACCACTTCCTTTAAAGACACCGCTAAAGATCCATCCAAGCCCGACGCAGAAACCAGAGGAGCCCCAGTGCTCAGTGCCTCCAACCTGCTGTATGACAAGTACCGCCAGGAGACGCAGACAAACCTCTTCCCATCAGGAATGTTGAGCAGGAGTATCAAGCACCCTGGACATACACACACCGTCCCCCCTGCACACACACACAGCCATTCGGCACCCCCAACACTGGGCAGCAAAGCAGAGACCTTCTACGGGGCGCCATCTGAGGTGAGTGTTATGTACAGTCTTTATTATAAGTATCTGATTTCAAGGTTGTTGTTTTTTTATTATAAATCGTTCTTCATTTAAGAATGAAGCTTGTATTCTGACTTCTATTATAGTTTGGGATTGTGCTCATTGTCTTTCATCAAAAGGACTTTCTATCGTGCTCAGATTAAGCACAATCCACTATTACACACAATCACACAAACAGTGAAAGTACAGATTGAATTATGATAGTTCCTAAATCAATTAACAGGATATAATTGCTTTATGATATACATTATACTATACATATTAAGTGCAAGGACTCTTCCGTTAAATTAGGTGATTCTGTCAGTTTCACTAGCTGATGTCCATAACTTCTATCCCATAGTAAACCATGTATAATTGATTACAGATCTTCTGCATTTTATTCCCACTCTATCAAGAGCTGCTCATTATCGCTTTAAAATCATCCGTTATTGATTCTCATTAAATAGCTTCATTTGGTATTCATATTCATACAGCATCAAACACCAACATGCGGAAATAAATAGTTAATGCATTTTGAAGTACAATGCTCACAGGGACAAGGAGGATTCTCAACGCTTTATTTGCCACTGCATGCACGTTGGCATTTTGTCCAGCACACAGGCTGCTGAGAGACAACACGTACTCTTGAATTACCCCGGTGGTGTTAAACAATTTAACATCCCAATTTCCCTGCATGTCGTCAGGCTGTTTGTGACTTCGACTCACAGCGTCAGCCATATTAAGTGGACGAACTCCAAGCTGGAGGAATTCTTGTTATCTATTACTATTTTTTCTTCTCATGATCAGCCACATCATATTTTAAAAATTAGTTATGTCCATACAGAATGTTGGATGACAAACAGACTTCAGTCTATATGGCGGCAATGATGTAATTTATGACTTTGGTGCAGGTAAATTATAATAAAGGTAGCATCAAATGATTCTTTGCCCAGTTTGTCCACAATACCACTCAATTACTTAATATTTATTTTCAGTCTCTGGGCCTAGGGTACAGTATATATTTTTCAATGATAGGATTTTGAAGTTGATTTCATTATTTTGATCTTTAGGTGGGAAGATCTGCCAGTTTTAAAGTGAGTACAGCTGAGGACGCGTTGCAGTCGAGGGCGGTTACTCAGGCCGGAGGAAGCGGCAGCCTCCTGCGCTCTGGCAGAGGTCTGCGTCTGGGTCTGGGAGCTGTCAACAGGACGACTACGGGCTCAGCCAAGGGCAGAGGGCCCAGTCAAGGTCAGAGGTCAGCACTGGTCTTCAGCCAGCCAGTCCACCCGGTCAGCCCAGCGACCAGTCAGAAAAACAAAGATAACACAGGTAAGAGATTTCCCCAAATTATGTTTTAGAGTTTGTGTCAGCTTTTATTTCAGCAACAAATTAGTCACACCAGAGAGAGCCACCTTATCGTTCTTCTCCTTTGCAGCAACGAGCAGAGCAACGATATTGGCCTGAGATGAATGCAGGTTATGCATATTTCATCTGCTCTCTCACCGAGTGTGACATACGTGTTCATACGTGCACTCAACGACACACATAACCCAAAACTGCACATACTGAATTGATCAGCATAGTGTTATGATTTGCCTGCCTTCCTTAACATAATCCCTCTTAATACATATGTATGGCGTCTCAGTGCTGCTTGGCCCTCTGGGAACTACAGGCTTTGAAGTGCAAAGCAATTAAGGTTTAAGTAACGCCAGTATCTTCTTGCTGGAATCATCTCTCATCCCTGCTGTACCCTGCCCTAAAGAGACCGCATGGATAAACACCAGCTAAAACATGTACTGTATATACAGCATGGGTCAACATTGTGTGTGTCAGTGTCAGTTCTTGTAGGCTATGTAATTAAGGGAATTCTGTTGTTTTTGTTGTTGTTTTTTTCATCCATCTCCTGGAGAAATCTGAGCCGTAAACCCTAAAAATGTGCCAATAAGCACTTTATGTTTCCTTTCTTCTTTTCATCACTGGGAGTTACACATTTTCAGGCTTTTGTGAAAGAAAATCTCTCCATCTGCGTACACATATTATAGTAATTATACTGTATATAGCAGTCAAAGTACTCTCACTGCTCACATAATTACCATGTAGGGTTTAAACTGTCTAGTGTTATGATAATGAGGACTATCCACTTACAGGACAGGACGTTTGTGATGAAGCTACTGTAACTTCTGCATATTGAGGCTCTCATCCTCCCGTCTTCACAGCAGCGACGCCCCGTGCTTTGCTCGAGTAGCTCTGCAGAGATTGCAATGCACTCAAGTATCACATTTAATAATATGCAATTAAACGCTTTGTGGAGGAAATCCATGCAGGTTGACGCAACTCACCTTGGGCTTTAATTAAAATTGCTTGGTCGTTATAGGGCTTATCCCAGCTGCCTGTCCCATTGACTTTTCAGAGCCCAATTTACATTATCCACCTCACGTAAGGATGCTCTCTCTATCAGCAAAAGCCAATGGTTGGAAGATGTTTTCATTTCTCGGGGGTTGTTGAGAGACTGTAGGTGGTGTTTCAGACCTAAGGGGAAAGTTTTATTAAAATCTTTGGAATGGCAAAGGGAGAAAATGGCAAGCCCAGGAAAACACTCAGGGTTTTGTGATTCATGATGCATTTTCAAAATCATACTTTCATACGTTTTTGTCCTATTTGTGTAGTTTTTGAAAGCTGCTTCATCAGGTCGAGTGTATTTTGCAGGTGCAAAGAAATAAGAATAAGAAAGTGAGAAACAAACCAGAGGACAGAATAGAAAGAGAGGACAGTTAAAGTCATATTAATAATTCCATTCCCTTCCTATTCCTTTTTAGATTGTTATGAATAATGTGTTACTTCATTTAACAGGAGCTTAGGTCCGTGCTATCTAGGCTGAAGGTGTTTGTCAGGCTCACTTCCCTCATTCGTTTCTCAGAGGGGATGAATGGAGTGGTCGGGGGCAGGAGGAAAATGAGGACATTTATCTTTAATGACCTTCTCACTCAAGAGGAGCGAGCTCTAATCTGATAAGCAGAACGCGTGGCACACAGGCAGATATCGAGGAAGGAGGAAAGAGGTGATAAGTGGGAACACTGGCGCTGATGAAGCTGGAGGGGAGATACACTGGAGACTTTTCTCCCTCGCCCTGTCCCACTTTGTCTTTCTCTACCAGCAGAGCTTGAATTCTCCCTCTCAGAGTTCTTCCTTTCTTGTATTAATGCGGCGGCTCCCCTGTAGCATGTGGAGCCCACAGCTGTGCCAAATAGTTGAGGAAAGTAGGGCTGCCTACCTTATCTCTGCAGCCAGCAGGGGATAATTCTTCTCTTCTGTCTAGGATCTAAACCGTGTACTGCAGGCTGGGGTTTCTATCCCAGGCCTGAGGATTTTCCCACTGCCCACTGTGTGTAAATGTGCGCAGCCTTGGTTGTTCATGCCTGCACATTTCATCTGTTTGGCTGTCGGAAACCATAGATTACCGAGAGCCCCATTGCTCACTGAGAATAGCTGCCACTATGGAGCTAAGATTACTTTTCTTATCCTCCCTTTCTCTCTTTGATTCCAGGTCTTTTCTTTCTCTTTCACTGGAAATATGTTTCCTCTCTCTTTTAATCAACCTTTCATATTCTTTTTTGGTTTTGAGTCCTGAACAGTAGAGGAACGGCTTTCATGCAGTAACTGTATAACTGCAGAATCGATGTAATACCTATAATAACAAGGAATTCCTGATCGTGTAATGAATTATAAACACAGTGTATGTATGTATTGGACAGATATATAATCTGTGTCCTAAATTGTGGGCGTCATATTGAACGTCACAACAGTGTTGGCATTAGAGGAGCTGTTGGCCGCCAGCCCAGTCTGTGAGCACGGTCAAAGCCAAAAGCAGCTGTTACCAGGTTGTTGTGTTTATTGTTATCATATTTGCTTGCTGTAGCAATCAGAGTCATAACACAAAACTTTGTGGTGCTCAATGGGAGCTTAGTCAACACAGGATGATGAATGATTCACAGGGGAAATAAACATCAAGGCTGTGCTGTTGGTATGTAAGTGGTGATTAATGAGTTTACAGTAGTCACACATGCACACTTTTACTTCCTACTCTTGTGGCGCTGTCCATTCAGCACCACAGGCTGCAGCTCAAACAAAGTGAGCAAAATGCAGCTAAGTCTCGCCCCTCGAATGCAGACTAGCCAATCACAGCGTAGCTTCGGCCAGCTCTGAACAGGGCGCAACAACTATCTGATTTAGTTGGTTCACTTTTACACTGTGATTTGTAGGCTTTATCTTCTGTCTTTATCTATTCAACCTGTTTTCACTGCTTTGACATCCTGGATATAACCTACAAGCGCATGTTGGTACCCTTCAGTCTGTTCTTCCTGAAATAGCTTTTTCCAAACATTTGATAGTATTTCTGCAGGGAGTGGAGTAAGTGACAGTGTGGGCTCCATGGTTGCTCTGACAGCCTGACGGACTAGCAGCATAGGGGCGGGGCTTAACAAAGGGTCACCCGATAAGTTGAAATGCAGGGAATGATTAGTTTGCTATTGACAGCTTACTGTCTGGCTGCTGCTGTAATATCAGTGCATCTAAGGACACCCCATGTCAATTTAACAGTATTTCGTTTTTCACAGTGTTTTTTTTTTTTTTTCGAATAATAAATGACAATATGATTGTTCACTGTGCTTTTTCTTCATTGTGAACAGATGACCAGGTTTTCGCCCATCATGCTCCTCCTCCTGCTGCTCCAGCGACCGCAGCACCACAGCCCCAGGCCATGGCCTCCAGGTCCCCGCTTCCCAAAGCGAGCCAGTCAGGCCTGCGCCCCCCAGGCTTCAGCTCCAGCCGCCTCCCCGCGGGCCGCCTGGCAGCCTTCGGCTTCGTCAGGAGCTCCAGCGTCTCATCCGCCTCCTCGGCCCAGTCTGCTGACAGCACACAGAGTGACCACTGCAGGACAGCCCACCGTGAGTCCACTCGTTACAAAATCTGTTGACACCAGTCCTACCGTTTGTGAGAATGTGCTGCTATTTGTAAATCTCAATGGTACTTTCACAAGTACACTGTTATCATCACCATACTGTCGTCATTGCTTTCTTTTATCCCATTATGCATATAGTTTGCATAAACAGCCCCCTCCCACATTCATTATGTTACAGTTTGCTTCCTCTTCCCCTGCTCCACCCTGTTACAATTTATTCTTCACTCTGTATTTTCATACACAAGCACCAGGTCAATAACAACTGTAGGGCTGCAGTTTTGCAAAGCACATTTTCTGTAACACACGAGGACACAATATGAGGGATATTTATGGTAATAGATATTGCCAGTGCAATCAACTTATCGTTAATCGCTGGGTATTATGATTAGACAAGGTTTCAATGCATTCAAGTTTCACTGTGTGTTGTGCATGTAATAGATGGCACCGATATTCATTAATTAACGTCATTATCATTAAGGCTAGAGGTGTGGAACATTGTGACATAATTGCTTAATTTGCTCTAGGATGATTCATGAGTAAAAGGTGATGACACGGTGCAACGCTGGTGTGATATTACAGACAAGAATGTAGTACGACTTACTTTATAAAAGTAGAAAATATAAATTTCCCACAACTGTGATAAATCATTGATAGATATACTGAAAAGGCCCGACACTTCCCCCATTTGACAGCTCGGCTTTTTTGTCTTACATCTATGAAAAAAATAACATGGCACGGGCTCTTAACTAGGTCTGTGCTGCAAATTCAGTCAGCATGAGCAGAGATAACAGTATCGTATTGATGGTGCTCATTTTCACAAAGAACTGGAGCTGTACATACAGTTGGGATTTCAATGCAGCTCGGCAGGCTGGTTTTTTAGTTGGCTGAATTTGTAGCTGCATGTGTTTTTAATGTGACCTACATAGGGAATGCTTGCTCTTCCTCTCCCAGTTACAGTTGACGTAAGCGCCTCCATTCTCACGCATGTCAGGCCCCCTGTTATGTCATCTGTCCATTCCCTCCTTCCCCCCTTTTCTCTCCCTCATTGGTTGGAAATGAATACAAACTGTGCGGTAATGTGGGGGAGGCACCTTTTCAGCTACAGTGGAACAGGGAAATAAAGGACTCCCTTGGGTTTCCACAGCAGTGTTTTTTTTTTTTATAAAAGTGGCATAAATGTGGAGTATCTTTTTTCAAAAGCTATAAAAACACATTAAACAGTTTCTGCATGTTTGGGTTGGACCATTATAGATGAAAGGCCTCAATCAATGAGTAGTGCTCTAATTGCATTGTGAGTATTGACCAACTGTGTTGGCGTGTGTGTGCGCAATGGGGCTGAAATGATTAATTGTTTAATTAAGTCATTCTTTAGGCAAAAATGCCAAGCATTTACCGATTCCAGCTTCCTCCTCTTTTCTGACCAAACAGTTAATCAATTGATTAAGAAAACAATCATTAGCTGCAGCAATAGTAAACACTTCTCTTCTCTCTTTGTCTTTTGATCCCTATATTCTCGTACATGAACTGAATCTGTTGCACATGGTGACACACTGGGTTTTCCACCAACCTGAATTTTCTGTGGAACATATCTTTAAATCTCCTAGATTTTAAACCCTTATCTCAAACATAATTTAAATAGATCTTAAAAGCTGTGGCACTGTAGCAATCAACATACATTAAGTGATCGTTAAAGTAATACCCTACAGCATCTAAAGTAAATCTGTCCAGTCATAATGTCAAAAGACCAGCAGAACAGTAATGAGCTGGAGACACAGTTTCCATGACACTAACTGACGCTTGCAGCTAAATATTTAGATTTTTCGATTTCTGTTTTACTTTGTTGTTGGAGACAAATGCAACTCAATTGACAGTATTGAATTTAGCCTCCCTGTCTTGCAGATAATAGCATCATTTGCACGGTACTTTTATAAATACAATTACCACGCAAATATCAATATCTTGAATCAATGAAAGCAACGTACAGTACATCAGACTTTTATTTTATTGCAACAAGTGCATCAACTAAATAAACCCTTAAGATAAACATACACAATGTAACTGACCTAAACTCCTGCTGGTTAGCATATTGTCTATTTAAGCAGCAATATTTATGTCCAGATTTACTCCAGTGTCACCTGTAGTCCAAAACTCCTTTAGGCATTTGGACCAGTTAATAAATATTACATCTGTAAACACACACACACACACACACACACGGGAACAACTGCCAGCAGAATGCAAAAGAGTAGAAGTTGTAAAAGTAGAGCCTGCAGCACAATGTTCCTTTTCCTGCTGTTGAACTGCTGCTGCTCGGATCATGGCAAGACCAAAATTGAGTCAAGGATGATAGACATGAGAGGCAAAAGATTCAGGTCCTTTGAAGTTCATTTCTGTGTGTGTGTGTGTGTGTGTGTGTGCGTGTGTGTGTGTGTGTGTGTGTGACAGGCAGGAGGGGAGAGCAGGAACATTAACTTCCCCTTTTAGTCTCTGTGTGGTGCTTTTGACCTTTAGCTGCGAGGCATTTGAACTCTCACTCTGGTTGAACCTTCAAGACTAAACTGGGCTGTAGGTCCTGCTATGTCTCTCCCAGTGTGCGAGCACGCGTGGAGCTTTAACCAGAGGGTTGTCTGATGTCTTTTTGTCTGACCTTTATTTGGGAAACATTTAAAAAGAAATGTTTTAAAGCTTTAAAAACTATCTTTTCTGAATGGGTTTGTCTCGTTTGATTGTTCATAATGTTCCCTGCAAAATCATTACTGTGTATGAAACAGGCTGGATATAATAATAAATTAGCAAGTGCTTCAACCTAAAAGTTTGAGTACTGCATGATGATGAAATGCTGAGACTTTGTTGTTTGTCCCCAGGGCAATTTAGGAAAGCTGAAAAAATAGGGGTGACATTTCGTTCAAAGTTAAGCTATTCCATGATTTGAATATTAGATATTGTCAAGTTTATCCAACAATAATTGCATTTTGAAATCCTTATGTTGCCCAAGGCAATGCGTGAAATATTGGGGCATGTTTCTGAGTCACTACACAAACCCATTTGTAGACGGATGTTGTGATTCGAAGCAAGTTAGTGAAATCCCAATGTGGAGAGAACAATTAAGTGAGGTTGGCAAACAATCTTCAGTTTCTGATTTCCAAAGCCTTGTTTTTTGTTTAATTTGTGTTTATTTGTGCATGTTTGGAAGTACGTGATGTATGCATGTGGTGATTGTTTAAGGTACCACGATTTTCCTCTACCACTCGGGGATCTTTGCCCCCCCCTTACTGCGCTCCAACTCAGATCAAAGAACAGATGAGTTCTCACACATGCTTCCATCAAGGATGTTGAGGGAGCCGCAGCAACCCAGCACCTCCCTCTGACAGAGAGCCAGGCTCAGTTCCTCGTTTTCCCCATTGATCAGCAAGCAAAACAGACTCCATTAGGGCTCTGGATGATAGGAGAAATCATTAAGGAGTAGAGCGATGGGGAGGAAAGGATTGCCAGGCTCTAGTAAAGTGGGTTAGCGGAAGGATCCCTAGAGTTTAAACTCCCCACTGTCGTAACTCGTCAACCTGCTCTGATCAATGTAACATGCAGCTATGTGTGTGTGTGTATATATATATATATATGATTGATTCTTATCGCCTGTTTGCATATAAGTATGCATGCAATTACATCTGTGTTTGTCTAGCATCTAGGGGTGCTACAGGTTACACTATATGACATTGATTAGCCATTAAACCAGTCCTCCCTTTAGTGCAAACGCCGACGTCCCCTATGGTGTGTCAGGGATGTGTGTATGTGCATTAGAGAGAGAGCATCCATGCTTGTAAAAAAAACTATAGGGATACATTGTTAATTCCACTGTGATCGACAGACTCCATTACATAGCTGAGCGGAGAATCCAGCAGAAGGAAGCTGATGAAGCCTGTGCCTATGAGCCACGCTGACTCCAAACTTTGCATTATCAGAGCATTATCACCTGCATCTATCACTCTTCTCTTTCGGTGAAAATCAAATAAACGGAAGGGTAAACTGAGCAGGCAGCTGACAGGAGAAGAGGAGCTGAAGGGAGATGCGGGGATAAAAGCAAATTCAATGAGACAAAATGAGTTGAGGGGAGAGAGGAAGGGGGAAAAAAAGGAGCGGAAAGAGAGATGCATGGAGGGATTGGCGCGGGAAGGAGAGTGGATGCTATACCCCCAGATGCCATGGCTCAGTTTTGGTCTGTGACTCATGCTAGCTCACTGTGAACAGATGGTTTCTATGGTGCATGCTCACACACGGATATGCACAAACGTGTATATACACACACACACACATGCACACACACACACACACACACACACCAGGGAGGCGAATCAGATTGGCCAATTAGATATGGCTGCCATTCTGCAGCTGAGGAGTGAAAAACTAACATGGCAGAGGCTTATTGAAGCAGCAGAGCTGTGACAGTGAAGACAGTGGTTGCTAACTGATAAACTCCCAGTATTTTATCTAGCTCCATCTTATTCACCGTTTATGAGCTTAACTGATGGACTGGAGAACTGGAGCATCTTACATGTTCCAGATAAACATGTAAGAGATACTAATTCAGCATTGTACGGTAAAGAGAGCCGTGGTCATTTCATTTTTCTCAAATAATTCCTTGATATTTATACTCATTCATTAAAAGAAAAAATATTTCAGTCTTTCATTAATAAGACAATCTTTATCGCTAGGCATGCTTTTGAGATTGTATGTCCTATGAGTCCTAAAATAACACTTTAATTGTAAAAGTCTGATTCATTTGAATGTCATACTTATAATGCTGCGTGATCAATTTACTGGTCCACCACGAAGGATCAGTGCTCTCTTGTTGACCATAAGATACGCCACATTTCCCTCTGGTTGAGCTGAAGCTTTAATCTCCTGACCTCTTTGAATCCTGGCAGAAGACGGGAGTCCTGTGGATGCTTCCGTCAGCTCCAGTGTCATCTAATCTATCTCACAGTCTGC